ATTTTTGTCTCTACTTTAATCTATTTAATTAAAAGCAGCATAAATTGAAATTACTAACATAAATTACTGCTAAGATGCATAAATACTCACTATTTAAATAACACATCATTACTTTTTCCAGGTAAAATGTATTTAATTGTCACAATGCAAACAATCTAAAAAAGGTTTTATTTTTTCCAAGCAAAACATATGATCTTATTAAATGGGACCTGGACATGTTCTTGACAGATTTTGTGAGATCAACAATATCCTCTGTAAAGCTTTAAGAGTGTGTGTGTGTGTGTTTTGGGAGCAGATGCAGTATTGTTGGCGGTCTCTCGTGGAGGCGCATGTGCTTGAGGAGCAGATAATGAGAGCCGAGGAAACGCATGACATGTGCAGCCGTCGTCTGACTGCGAGAGACATGAATACAGAGAAACATGCTGAGAAAATCACTTCTGCCTCTCACACACGCTTCAGAACCAGCGGCCAAACACGGACAAAACGCTGCAAAACATCCTCGCCAAGAAGATACCATGGTAACCACAGAGAGTGCTACTACATTTTTACACTTCACGAGAAAATGTGGAGGTGTTTGCCTGTGCAAAACAGAACTTATGGTTAATTCTGGATGTGTCTGACCTTCTGTTAAAGTGCAGGGTTTTATCTCCGGAAATATGAGTCGTTTTACAAATCTAAATCCCAGAATGCAATGCAGACAGCAGATAACGGTGTTTGCCAAAAACAAAAGAGCCCAAATCATTTGTAATCATATTTGTGGTGCGGTGATTTATGGAAAGAGAAACGTCAGGCTCGTGTCTGACTCGACGAGACCCGAGTTACAACAGAGCATCACAACGAAACACACACAGAGATCAGAGAAAATAACATATTATGGATAAAGAAAAATGAATTATATGTACTATATATATATAAAATATGCTTATGAAAATTTACCTTCAAAATGACATAGTTAAAATCATAAAATAAATTTATATCAATCTCCTTCAAACAGTGTAAAAGGCTTCAGAATATTTCTGTCATTTTGCATATTTTTTTCCCCGTAATTTCTAGTCTTACTGTGTCATTTTGAAGGGAACTATATGGAAACTTGTTTGTGCTTTTAAAAAAAAAAAAAGTTAACTGCGAAATTTTTTCTCTCAAAATTCTGTCTTTTTTCTCGCAATTCTGAGATATAAATAAAAAGTCAAAAAGTCAAAATTGCGAGATATAAACTCAATTCTGAGGAACAAAATCTGCACTGGGAGATATAAACTCAGAATTGTGAGTTAAAAAGTCACAATTACCTTTTTTTATTTAATTTTTTAATTACGTGGCGGAAACCGCCTTCCAAAGAATTATGATTACCATGGAAAATGTTTGAATTTTGTATAGTTATTTTAATAAATCGTGAATGAATCTTCTGCAATCAGCAGTGACAGAGGATGGTGTGAGAACAGAACTGACAAAGGACAAGAAGAACCCTGAATCCCCGAATACTGGATCACACACGCAGTAAAAACAAAGAAACAAGGAGATTTTGTTTTTAACATACAACAACACGTCTAAGCTCATTAGATGAATCATGCAAACACTGGTGCCGAGGGTCTCGAATAAATGCGGCAGAATCTCACATTCACACTGTCAGCGCTAATAACATCACACACACAGCAAACCACAATAAACACAGATTTACACATGGTAAAAAAATACGGGACCACTTCACAAAAACCACACACTTCTCATCCAGCACATGACGGTTGTATGTATTCAGAGCTGAGAGAAAATCTCAACAACTCAATGAAAATCTTCCCTCAAATGACTAATCAATATGAGATGCAGAAGCACAGACTGTTGCCAGATGCCAAGAAAACCTCACTGAAATGTGTCCTGCATACTGGATGTTTGTTTCAGACTGCAATGTGAAGAATAAAACAGGAATCTATGGTCTAATTTGGTCCAGTGACAGACTGGATCTCACCATGAGCATTGTGGGTGAAGGCCAACAGACTGTTGGAGATTCACACCCAACTGCTCACGACGCTTTGCGTACATCTGTGTAAATGATGATTTCAATGCAGCTATGATTGCTGGTCACTTCATACGGTTGTAAACAAGACACACTTTGAGAAGACTTGAGTGAAGGTAACACTTACTAGAATACTTCAATAGATGCCAATACTTACAGAGAAGGTATGATTGCCATATTTCATTTTATGATCTTTACAGGTCTACAAATGAACTGGCTGTATCGTGCATGAGCTGAAAGCATGAAGTACTCTATAGACTTGTAGAATAACATTCAATTCTCACTTTCAATTCAGAAAAACTAAAGGATCGCCTTGATTTAAATACAAGTTTACAAGCACATATTAGACATGCACACGTGGCCTTACTGAATCTATGAAATGTATTTATCATTCAAATGATATTCTGAACAGCATATTATGCAGACATGATGAGACGTCCATAAAACCAAAACAATTATAGAAACATATTATAGATATGATATTGTGCATCATCATTACATCATTACATCATTTATTTCGAATTTTTAAACGAAATGTGATCTTGTTTTCATGCAATGCAAAAAAAGGAAATAAAATAATGAATTTAAAGATGTTTTATGCCTAAAACAAGAAACAAAATAGACATATACTAATCATACATATGCAAGATTTTTATGCTACAACAAAACAAAAAATCTAATAATTATTATGATGCTATAATTCAGGAAAACAAAACAAAACAAAAATACTGACCAAAATTATACTTTTTGGAGTTTAATACAAATTGCAGTTTAACTTTCTTTTATTTTGCAAAAAACAGGTGCTAGAAAATTATAAATATAAAGATTTTTAAAACAAGAAAAAAAAATCTAAAATCTAAAATTTATATATATAAAATGTTATATGTGTGTAATTATAACAATAATTATTAAAAAATATGAAAAAAAAATGCATTGGTTATACATGATTTTTGCAGTTTAATTCTACTGTTTCCATATGATGAACTGATTTGGATTAAAACAAATGAATGTAAATCTGACATAAATGAAAGTTCTGACACCATGATAATTATCTAAAAACCGAAAGTCACTAGACAGTAGATGCAGCTACTGTAAATCACTAAAGACGAGTGATTTCTGCCTCAGCAACAGCACTGCTGCACTAGAATCAGTTCAACCCTGAAACATCAGGAAAAAACAGCAGAACCGGCTGCAGGTCAGGCCACAAACTGTCTGAACGCATTAAAATCAGTCCATCACGAGAGCCTGAGGGAACCTGGCTCTGTATTAACACACAGTCACCAAAACCGCCTGAAAACCAGCTGAATTTAAAGGGGTCATATGATGCGATTTCAATTTTTCCTTTCTCTTTGGAGTGTTACAAGCTCTTGGTGCATAAAGAAGATCTGTAAAGTTGCAAAGACTAAAGTCTCAAATCCAAAGAGATATTCTTTATAAAAGTTAAGAGTCAAGCTCGTTCTAACACGCCCCCACATACCTACGTCACAATGTGGGAAGATTTGCATAACACCGCCCAAATGTGCACGCAAAGAAAACGAAGGCGTAACTTTTATTCTCGCTGTAGTATTATTGTTGTTGCCACCGCCACGTCGTGAAGGCACTGTGTAATTCGTTGTAAAAGCGAAACTACTTTGTTTGGCCTTCCAAAAGAGGAAGATATCCGCTTCGTCATGCCTGGAGCTGATCAGTGCTGGTCGCTGAGGAAATACTTCAACTACGCGCTGTTGATCGCCGGATCGGCTTTCACCGTGGACGAAGCGAAGTCCAGCCCCAAATAAT